TTTGTTATTATTGCACCTCATCTCGAGGCAGTCGGGCCAGCGATGTGGCAAGCTGTCTGTTCTGTTTCTGTTCTTGTGAAATTCTGTTTATGAAAAATTTTTTAAATAAATATTGCAAGCATACATATATGTATGTAGCTATGAAAATGTATTTGATTTGGCTGGGCACTTTGTGACCCGCAGCAAAAGTGTGTAAGTAGGAAAGTAGTTGCGTCAAAACGTAATAAATTGCCTACAAATGTAGGTAATCTGTACCGTAGGGGTGTATGCTCACACAACTAAATACATATGCATACAGATATATCTACGTATATGCACCTACTTTGCGCCAGTTGCTCACTCACTCAATCAAGTAGCCGCGCATGCAAGCATTAAATTAGTCAAGGAAAATTTTTCTGTTATAATTAAATTAGCAAACAAGTTCAATTTTTAGCAAAGATTTTGCAATGATATTATGCATATACTGCGAAATAGTGGGTACGCAATAATTGGGCTGCTAAAAAGGCAATATTGTGGACAAGAAAGCAACAGATGTAAATATATATGCAGGAATAATTTACATTATGTAGTGATTTTTTAAATTAACAAAAGTTTTCATAAAAAATCAACGCTTCACACAAGAGCCTTTTCAAAGACCAACAACTTTTGAAGGCGGTGAATTTAGAGACGTTGCTCGAAAATTATGCTATATATATGGTGGGATCAGACCGACGTTATTTGTTATGAGCTGCTAAAACCAATCTAAGTCATTAATCAATGGGCAACGGTATCGACTTTAATTGATGCGATTGAGCCGAGTACTGTGCGAAAAGCAACATTAAAACTAGCAGAGGCACGAAAAAGTGTTTCTGCTGCAAGCCAAAGCTTACTATATCACGTTGCCAAACCGGTTAAAACCCACCTGAAAAAGCTTAAATGGGGAGTCCTACCTCGCCCGCCATATTTCGCTGATATTGTACCGTCTGTTTACTATTTTTTCCGTTCGAAGGCATATGGTCTGGCTCAGAAGCAGTTCCACCTACAAGGCGACAACGAAAAATGGCTTGATTCTTGAATAGCATCATAAGATGAACAATTTTATCACCGTAATAGTATTCGAGCTTTGCCAGAAAGTTGAGAAAAAGTTATGACTAGCGATGTATAATACTTCAAATAATTCATTTGTAACTCCCTCCTTACAATAAAATTTCCTTTTCGTTGAACAAAATAGCGAAAATTTATATTAAAATATGTAAGACCGCACTTCATAGCACAGCATCTACATCATTCAGTGTTAATTTAGTGAAATTTTCATTGTTATGACTCAGTGGCCACCCAGAGGGTAAATGCTATTAAAAACTTAGTGCTAATATGAACATTAGACTAAGCCGATTTGAATGCGTATCAACAGCTTGTAATGCAAGCGTTTAAATACTACAACATAATTAGTTATGAACAAATCAATAAACGCTTTGATGGCGCGAAAAATGCTGATGATGCCGACAAGTTTCCGAATGTAGCGACCCAGCTGAAGAGCGTGTATTTTTACCAGTTTGTTTTTGAATAACAACAAAATGACAAAACGTTAAGAAAGCAATAAAAAGAAAAAATACAATAAAAAGACGCTACTACGGTAAACCAGTTGTGCGCGTCAGCGTTTCTGAACTGTGTCAGCATCACCCAAACCCAAAGCGGGGCTTATGGATAAAATATCGAAATAAAAACATCAAAAAGGTAGCCGAAGCCAAACAAAAAGCTTATTTCAATAATAATAAGCATATGGAGAAAAGGAATAAAAATATGAATGGGTGAATGAATTATCATCCGAGGTGGAATAGCACATGTTTTAATTAATGGACACAGACTGATGGGTTGGCTTTTCCAAATTATTAGCACAAGTGGTTTTGCATATAAAAATATTGCTTGATTTGCAATAAAAAACTGACTATGCGTTATAAAGGCGCGGCAAGTGCACTGCGTTGAACCCAAAGGCAAATAGTGAAGGTTGTTGTTTTTATTGCAAGTATTAAACTTTGCTTTTTGAAATTGTTTTTAATGCTAAATATGTTAAAAAAAAACACCCATAAAATAAGTTCAATAATGAACATGAACTCATAAAGTTCGTTAAAGAATTTGAGTGGCCAAAATATTTTACTTTTTACATACGCTTTTTCTCAGAGGAAGAAAAGAGTAGCGAATCATCGAAGAATTTTTCTTTGTGTGTGCGAGAGACACAAGAACGAGGATTCGACTACTTAATATTTTTCAAGATTATACATGTATGTGTATATGGGTTGATAAGTTTTACCAGCCGAGATTCCTTTTAATAATTCCAATACATTAAATAGGACCGAATAGAGTGGTTTCGTGGACTTCAAGAGTCTCTACACAAAAAGGAAAGACAACGCCTCTGGCAACAAGTGCCTGGATTTCGACAGGCAAGGATGTTTATTGGAGAGTATGATACAAAACGGTTCAAGAAACTAATCGCTCTTCCCAGAGACGAATTACGGCAGATTATGGGATTTTATATACGTCACTGCAGCCAGATTATGGTACTGTTCCGAATGTATTTTAGAACAACATTTATACGAAGTCTTTAAGCGAGGATTGAGCTAACAAAATGCTAAATATTTTGAAAACTATTTGGATTTCACATGCTTTCGCGTTACTTGAAAACAAATTTCGTCAACACTTATATATCTTTTACATTTTCTATTTGTGGAATGTTTGAAAATTTGCTGTAATGTCTGGGAAATTTTAATTAACCCTGCGGCAAAGACGCCATTAGCACAGAATTCAATAAATTTGATTTGCACCATGATGTGCAAATGTACAACTATTTCGAAATGTCACTTGCAAAGCACAGCGACAGGTGTAATGGCTGGCTTGCTGATGCCATAAAGTGACGCAAAATTTATGCGGCCCGATCGAACTATGGTTAGCTGCGACGAAATCGCGTTGCAGTAAAACATAAAACAATTTTTACAGATATAAAAATAAAAGTAAGACAAAATAAATACGAAAACATAGAAAAATTATGTATACTGGGCGACACTACCAGTTAAGCGAAGAAAAAGTAATCTGAAAATGTAATTTTTACAAGGCAACGTCCGCCATCACCGACATCGAGCCAAATATGCATGCTCGTCGTGCCCACAGCCATATCCCTTCCCTCCTGATGTACATTACATACATTACAATTACCTTCTGCGCCATCGTTTGCGTCCTAATATCGTCGACAACACGTCAACGACAACGACCGCTGCAATTGCGTTTAGCTGCCGAACACACAACATGCAGTTCTTTGCACAAATCTATAAGCATCTAAAGTCAACCAAACGGTGAGGGCCTAAGAATAATTGTGTTTTTGGCAGCCACTCAATTTATTTGGTGCGCGAGGACACAAATAATTCTACTAATATATAGATAAACACTATTTTCATTATATAGAGTGAAGATAACAACTACATTTGCACAGTAACTGACCAATGGATGATGAGACCCTATAAGAAAAAATTTGATTGTGTTTCGAAATTTCGTTTTGTTAAAGGTTTTCTGTACAGGTGAAGTCGAAAAAGTATGCATTATGGAAACATTTATGGTTAAAAAAGCATAACTTCTCGGGAGTCTCGGGTCTCTCAAAGAGAGATCTTAATAGGCTCATTACTACAACAAGTACAGTTAGAACAACAAAATTTAGACTATGTCGCATTAACGAATGCCAATTTCCTACAGGGACAAAAATACATTCTCTACTATCATTGATCATTTTAAGGCATTTCGCATGCATTAATCTAAATAAATCGTTCATAGCAAATTTAATGAAAACAAATGGCAATAGTCTGGGAGAGAGGAGGCAAAAATTGAAAGAAATAAAGAGGAGAGAAAAGAGCTGTTGAGAGCAATTTGGTACTCTATAATATGAACGACGAAAATTTAAAAGCAAACAGTCAAAAATTTTGCTAATAACCCTAAAAATATGACAATGATTTTAAAATTTGATTAGACTCCATTAATTAATACACAACACATTTTTTAGGCAAACTTTGTCACCTCTTTGCGGACCGAGCACTATTTTTATGGAACGAGTATAGCAATAATCTCTGAAAAAATTAAACTTTTGCAACATTTTCGGTCTTTGTTCGAAACTGTACTGGAAAAGTACTGGAGTTCAGTTTTTTTTACTGCTAACGATTAAATCAGTGTGAAGATGAGTCTAACCTAAAAATCTGCTGTAGTAAGGACAACAACCTAACCTATCCATCAGGTTTTATTAGCAGGTTTTCCAACGTAATAATTAGCCGCAAAATCCTCCCAAAAACATGTTAAGAAGCTACCTAAACGAGTATAATTTTGCCATCAAGGTTCTAACATTATGAAGGTTGGTGGGTTCAAAACCCGACTAAATAAATAATAAAAATAATTTTTCTTGAATGAAAATATTGATGGCACGCGATTTACTTACGAGCAAACATTTGGAATACTCTAGGAGGCAAATTAAAAGTTTGGAAAGAACCAACGCTTTATTTTTTAATTTTTATCCCACTTTATATAAGTGATTCATCTCTTTCATCACGTCTGAAGGAAGTGATCGCCCAAAAGCGACCAGCTTTGGCCAATAATAGAGGAATTGCGTCCCACTAAGGTAACACTAAGCCAGCTTGACAGGGATTCATCTCTTATGAGTTGCCTTTATAAGGCCGAACTCTCCATTCGAAACTTTATTATTGCTTCGGTGCAACCGAAGTTAACATTTTTTTTGAGTTAAACACTTCAGCAGCTTTTGAAATCAACTTTTCCAGCGTTTGCTAATCTCAATTACCAATAACCAACCTTCACAATATTTTCTACCTCACTGAACACTTGAGAAATGAAATTTAATTAGATACTAAGCATGTGTAAATATGTGCTTATGGATATTTACTTACAACTGTGCGTCTTTATACATGATATTGTGTTTGTATTTATACGTATATGTATGTGTATGTGTAGTTATGTGCGAGCTTTCATCGACTTACCTTGCCTTGCATTATCAGCCTTATTGTTAATGTGACTGATTCGTCGGTTTTCATTGGCGTACTTGTGTTATTGTCTTCCATATTTGTTGTTGCTGTTATTTTTGTAGTTGTTGTTATTGTTGGTTACCTTCTTGCTGCGGTATTTGCGGTTGTAATTTTGCTACGATTTACTATTGTTTTTGTACGTTTCTTCACTCAATTTTGCTCGCTGCAAACACACTAGCGAATTTCACTGCAACACTCACACACACATATAGCTGCTACAAGCTTTTCCTTTAGCGGTGGTTGAGTACGCTTCGTGTGTGTGTGTGATTCTATTGAGATATCCACTTTCTGAGTTAGTTACTTGTGCTGATTTCTTACTTTTAACAACCTTTTGTTGTTTACTATACTTTTTTTCCTGTATTTTCTGCACTTCACTTTGACTTTTACTAAACTTTTAATGTACTTGCTGTAAATTTATGTGAATACCTGGAATTTATGTGATAATTTTTTAGCTGTTTATTAATTAAAATTGATTTACTTTCAATTGTGTGGTATATTTTATTAACCCGCATACACGTTTGTATATGTGTCTGTATGTTTGTGTGTATATGTATATATATCGCTTACTGATATAACAACAATAAAAAGAAGTTAATTAGTTAATGCATTAATTAATTGCTGGTGTCTTTGAGCGTTTGCTTGCTAAGAGTATCCTAGCACACCGTCAGCAATGAAAGTAGCAAGTGTGTGTGTGCTTTCATTTCACTTAATGCTGAATTGGCCGTTTGAGTTGTGCTTATTTTTTATTTTTTATACACTGCACAGGAGTCCTCTGAAGTTTATAATACTCAGAAACGTCGGATTCCCTAAAAAATATATGTAAACATATAATCAGCGTGATGAGCTGAGTCGATTTTGCCATGTCCGTCTATATACGTGTTCGTCTGTGCGATATCGACCTGAGAGTTTGTCCACCACTTTTTCTTCCCAAGAAGCCGCTCATTTTAGCATACAAACTGAACGGTCGGAATCAAGCACTTGCTTGGAAAATGTTTTCTTTGACAAGATATCTTGACGAAACTTGACATAGATTATTGCCCAAGGCAACGGCAAAATCACCGTAAAATTTTTTCAGATTGGAGCATATATCTGTCATATGAACTAACCGATCGAAATCAAGTCCATAAATGAGAAACGTTTTTAGTTGACAAGACATCTTCCTGAAGAAGAGGTAGAATCTTCGGCCAAATTGTTCAAATTGTAGCTGTCATACAAACTAACATATTAAAATGAAATCCTTATTCGAAAAACTATTTTAGTTGACAAGATAACTTCTTGAAATTTGACACAGATTGTCGTCTAAGATAGCGCTACGAGCTCCAAGGAAACTGTAAAGATCGGACCACTATATATATCACGTTTTTGTATTAACCACTTTTTTTTATATGTGCAGGGTATTATAGCTTCGGTGCAGTCGAAGTTAATGTTTTTTCTTGGCTTTTTAGCTCTTGTATTTACTTCAACTTTAAATTGCCTGATAATTTTTACTTGTTTGAAAAAAAAAAAAATTAAAAATGCACATTAATCACTTTGTACGTATTTGTTGCACGCTTTTTATTTGCTATTGTTATTGATGTTGCTTTACACTACACTTTTGTGTGTTGGTGTATGCTTTTATTGTTATTATTTCTCTTTTCTATTTATTTAATGGTCAATTGGTTAGTCGGTTGGCTGCGCGCTCGTTCGTTTGCGCGCTTGCGGTTGATTGAACTTGGAGGGGCGTAACAATAACAAAAAATACAATAAAAACGTAAGCAGAACAAACGGTTTTGCTACACTTTTAGCCGGCTTGCGAGCGTTATCAGTTAATGCTTAAGCGTAGATTTTTATAGAAATTTACTTTTGCTCTTATTTATTTCGGTTATTTGAACTTGCTGCGGTTGCTGCTGTGTCTTGTTGCTGCTGAAGTCACACTTTTATTGCCCACGACGCGCTCTGTGCGATTGCTGCCGCTGTTGTCGCCTACTACAATCACGACCGCCGACTGACTCCGCTTGTAGTCGGAATAAATGTGCTTAAAAACACAACGCTGTGTTGTTTTTGGTTGTATTGAGTTGCTGTGGTTGAGCGCGCGTCAATTCATACAATGCATACACAGCGGCAACGAAAGACGTCTACGAGTGCTTGGAGCGCGCGACCGTGAGGAACGCAGAGAAATGCTTCGAAAATCCTGCAATAAAGAAATGTCAGTTAGACAGCCACTCATTAGTGATAATTAATTACTAATAATACTAAAATAAATAAATATATCCGTAGTTATGTGTGTGTGCGAATATTTGCAGCGCAAATGCTGTCAAATGTCAACTATGAACAGATTAATTTCTGTTATAAATAAATAAATATGAAAAAAAAACAGAAGCTCAAGCGCCTAGTGGAAAGGGGTAAGTGTTTCGTGTAAAAGGCCGTTTGTAACTTGGCAAGACACGCAAGCACATTGCACACATACACTAAAGAGAAGAACACACACACACTCCCTCTCGTTGCTTGCAATTTTGTGAAATGCTTCTGGCGTCATTTGCCGTCGCTGTTTTGGCACATAATTAATTTAAGCACTGTAAACATATTCTGGGCATTAGTAGCTAGCCAAACGTTTGTTTTCTTTGTTGCAGTTAGTTAGCAAGGAAATTACCAAATCGCCTTGAATTTGCAAATACTTCCGGTATATCAAAGGAAATTTTATAAAAGAGAGATTGGCACAAAATTGATGGGGAGATGAAACAAAAAAATATGTTTCTTTGTGTATATGTACATAATAAATAAAAGCAAAAAAAAAAAAAAGTTAACATCTTTAAGCCTTTAAGAGTACAAAATATTGCTTACAACCTACATATATACTATAATGCTCCGATTTGACCAATTTCTTGGGAGATATCTTTTCTAGTAAAAAAAGTTTTTCATACAAGCACTTAATTCCGATCGTTCAGTTTGTATGGCAGCTTTATGATATAACGGTTTCGACAAATGAGCAGCTTCTAGAGGAGTGCCTAATTAATGTATATACAGACAGACGGACATGATTAAATCGCCTCAGCTTACCACGCTGATCAAATATAAGTATATATATATATTTATAAATATTTTGTGGGATATTCCACGTTTGTTCTGGGTGTTGCGAACTTAATACGCATATATCCTGTTCAGAGTATACAAATATATACATATACATATATAATAACAGGCGCAACAGCAGCTGAGGGCAAGCGGCTGCACTTCAGCTCCCAGCTAAACAAATTAAGCCTTATTGAGCAACTAAGTGAATTTGGTACGAAACCTGATTCTTTCCCACCCAAGAAGCCCAATGTCTCTTAAGTTGTAGGTTTGGGAGGCATGAATATGTTCCGTCTTAACTGGGTGAAGGCTTGGTCTCGTCATCTTACGCATACGCTTTGCATACCACCCAATCCACCTCTCCCATTTCTGAAGGTGTTCCTTTGGGTCAAAGTAACCTTGAAGGAGCTAAAAGGCCTCGGTCAGCTTAGGTGTTTCGTCGGCCAGCTTTTCTGCCTTTTCATTTCCTTCTGTTGCTACCACGGATAGCCTTAATTGCCGCTTGGCTATTCACTAGAAGGTTTATGGACTGTTTATGCTGGTTAGCGCAGAAGCTCACTTGACACCTGCTGTTATACCGAAAGTTTCGGCTTGAAAGACTTTATTGTAGTCATTTAGTTTGAAGCTGCTTTCTGTGGAGTTCAATACCAGAATAACTATTACCGCTCATTGAAAACAAACTTTGGCATGATCTTTTGATTGCTTTTAAAACAGTATTCAGGTCTTGACCCTCTTCAAAGTTGAAAATATATGAAGTAATATGTTAACAGCTTCTCAGGAGTACTTGGATGAAAAATATCGCTTTGGGTTTACTAAAAGTTTAGTAAAAATAATATATCCTGCCCTTTTAAGTACAAACAGTTAAATTCAAATCCTGTCATTAACAAAATAATGCAGATGTGTATATAAACCTCTATTATGAAAATAAATATCATTGAAAGAAATGTTGTTTACTCACTTCCTGACGTTAATGCATTACAAGTACAAGAGCGAATACCCGCACGCACACTGTACTTTACATGAATAGAATAAAGGAATGCAAATGTTAGTGAAGAAAAGAGAAGGGAAAAGTGAATGCAGAATAACAGTATTAACAGATGATATAAAAATTTGCATGTAAGTGCAGAGCGAAGAAAGAGAGGGAACGATACAGAGGGAGGTAGTGAAGGGAAGGACGTAGCGATATATAGGGTGTAAAAATATATGGAGAGTGAAAGGAGATAGATAAAGAGAATAAGAAAGAGAGATTAGAAGGAGTGAATCAAAAAATACATATGTGAAAATTAAATGCGAAAAATCAAGAAGGAATGAAAAAAGTGTTAGAAAAATAAGCGAGATAAAGAAAATAAAAACAAATAAATTTCATGAAAAAACTAATCAAGAAATACCAAAAAATTTAAGAAAATACAAAGAAAAACCCGAAGAAAAAAATAAATAAAAAACATTTAAAAAAACTGCAAGCAAATACAAGAAAAAAACAGAAAAATAAAAGAAAGACGACAAAAAATTCAAGAAAACACAAAACGAAAAAATTTTCTAGAAAAGTACATACGAAAACAAAAAATGTAATAAAACCACTAAAAAGTGCTTGATAAAAAGTCAGCAAAGGAATTCCAAGCAATGAAATTAACGCAATGCATTAAGGACTTAAGTACACACACATTGTTTGCCGTTGTTGTAGATACTTTTTGTGTCGGTTGTTTGTGGTGCGCCGAGGCGGAATCTCAGACGCGCACAAATAAATGCATGCTCGCCATTAAAAAAATGCATTTCGGCGGCAAACAACATCAATAGCAGCGAATTATATACTTGCTCGACATCACATACACACACACAGGAAAAAGTTGCAAGCAGCATGTCTGCCGTAAGCAATGGCGACACACATGCAAATATGTCTACGGAAAATAAGTGCACAGAAAAATACAGTTGCCTGCGCTTATTTGTTGATAATGTTGTAAAAATTTCACATATAACTTGATTGCGGCGACTCATTACACGGTACTTTTTCACAAGCACATGCAATTACAAAAGCATAAGTGCGTATAAGCATACACATTTACATATGTATGTATTTACAGCAATTGTAAAAAATTACGCACATCTGTTTATTTGCAGGAAAAATACAAAATAATGAGCGAAAATGCAATTTTTTCGCAAAGTAAATTGAAGCGGCGAGAAGTTAAGTGGTTACGAAGAGAAAAAGTGCAAAAAACACATAATACAAAAATAAATATACATATGTATATAAAAAAAATTAAAAATATATAACCAAGGAGTAAGGACGTAAAACATAATTAAAATAAAAGGAACAAATTATGAAAATCTAAAATGAAATATATATAAAAAAAAATACGAAAAGAAAAAAAATATTATTTTTTGAATAAATAATTATAATAAAAATTTTAAATCGTCATAAAAAGCCAAAAATTGAGCAAAAAGTAAATACTATATAAAAAAAAACGTGATGGCAACCACGCACTGCACCCTGTGAAAATCTGTTGATTTAACTTTCATTGACGTATATTACACCAACATCTCTGATGTTGCTGCTGCCGCCATTACACATTATCATCCATAACCGAAGAAGTACGAATGTGTATGTGGCTGTAGTTCTTGTGTTAATAAAATTTTACATACAACTTGCATCAAAATTCAGCCATGGAAAATTAAATCACAAAGAGCGCAGTATTAACGCACTCAGACGCTGATACTACAGACAAGTGCCGTGAGACGCATCGGATTAATGTGCTTTTGAGTGGCGGCAAAGAATAATTCATTACACAGCTCGCTATAAATGCAGCCAGTTAGCTGCTGGTGTGGTTTACTGCGGAAATTTGTTTTTGTTGGGAGCTTGAACAGACTAAATGCGCTCAAGATGCTGTATGATAGAGCAGAACAGCGTTACCAGACTATGAAATTTAATATGAGTTTGAAAACCAGATTCGGTGCCACATCGGAAGTGTGAGCCCCCCCACTTGATCTCGAGAACGCGGGACAGTTAAGAAAGAAGTGCGGATTTAATTCGACTCAGTTTTCTTCTATACAGCTTCTACAGCTGGTGTTGGGTAAGATTCTCAACCTTACAGCATGGACCCCAATAGGGCTGTTAGAACCTTCACAACTAAGCCAAAGTAAGGCATTCTTTAACCGGACTTGAACGCACAATTATTGAGCTCAAAGCTAACATCATCGCCATGCTGCCAAGCAACTGGAATATTCTTCAAAAACGAAAGTTCCATACACTAAGTTGATTTTGGTCATTCAGTTTGTATGGCAGCCATTAGATTGCATGCATTATCGCCTTAGAGAATAAATCTTAAAACTTCGTGAAGATATATTGAGAAATAATAAAGATCTCCATACAAGCACTTTATTCCGATCGTTCAGTTTGTATGACGGGTATATGCTATAGAGGTACGCTTTCGGCGGCTCTGACAAATGAACGGCTTCTTTGGAAGCAAAGAATGTGTGTAAAATTGCATATCAATATCTCAAAAACTGAGGAACTAGTTCGGGTATGGGCGAGGTTCCAAATTGTGGGAGAACATTTTCTATAATTATTTCATCACAGGACGTTTCTAAGACTTAAAAGCCTTGAGAAAAAATTTGCAAAATGATTCATTAATATTTGCATAATGAAATACTCAAATGAGCAGTACTGAAAAGCTTCAGTTTATTTCATTTCTCAATTTATAATTTCTAAAACGGTCTGAGCGCTGCTCACTTCAAAACAATCAGTCATATTTTCTTTCAATAATAACTGTATTATGCATGTGCAAGTTTTTTGCTATAATTATATTGTCTACACAAAATAACAACGACAACAACAATAGTAACGACAACTACAATAATATCAATTGCAACAAAAATATGTAACAATAACTACAGCAACAACAAAAAATACTAGAAAATGTCAAAACATTTAGATGACAGCATGAACTAAGTTGGAACGTCAAAGATGATACAATTTGCTTTGTGTATGTGTATATATTGATGAAGACGGCAGCAAAGAGCTTTTGAAGTTTCAAAATCAATTTGGTAGATTAAAAAGTCGAATAGACACACTTACATACTTAGAGAAGGTGAGGCAGAAGCAGCGGAGCAACTTAAAATTATTATGAA